TTATTTGAGAAAATTCACCCTTTTTTGGTGGGAATATTTTTTTTTTAACCTATTTTACAGGCTGATCATAAATGTTTTTTATTTTCGAATATTTGATTTGATAAATTTGACGAAATATTTTTTTTTTATTACATCATTATGAAGTAAATAGATGGGAAAATAAAATTTTGTTTATATTTACTTTATTAGTCTTTTTTTTTTGGAAAAAAAAAATATTTAAACAACCTCAATTTATAAGGTAAAAGTTCTTTTCCTCTTACTTCTTACCTTCTATTAAACTGTTAATGATAATGAATTATGATATAGTTTATTTTATTGACGATTAATAATATACATATACAGTATAAGTATATATACCGTACCATTCTGAAATTAAGCATCCCCAAAAGTAAGCACCCCCTGAATTATTACGGTTCTGAAAATAAGCACCCCCTCGAAAACTGTAAATTTTTTTAGTTGTTTTAGTAATTAACAAATAAATATTTAAATAAATATTAAATTGTTATCAAAAACGCGCATTTTTTATATTTTTATTATATTGCAAGATTCCTATTACCAATCTGTAACATTTTTCATTAAAGCATTTATATTAATTAAACTAAACCACTATGGCAAATATTTGGCATCATCATCACTATCAATGACATTATTATCATTGTCAATGCCATCATCGACATCCTCATCATCGCCATCGACAATATCATCATTATCATCAACGTCCTCATCGACATCCTCATCATCACTATCGATATCATCAACTTCATCACCATCAATATCACTAGTGATTTCATCATCCGATCTGTTTAAAGGAGTTGATATCTTGCAAGTTTCAAAAGACTCCATAATCATTTCATTTGGGATTTCTTTCCAAGCATGTTTGACTTACCCACAAACATCAGATAATTTAGCATGACGAAGATTTTCTGCAAGAGTCACTCTAGCACTACCTTCAGCCATCCAAAGATGCCATTCTTTGCAAAAATTATCCTTGAATGGCTTATTAATAGTGACATCGAGTGGTTGACAAATGCTGGTTAAACCATCCAGAATAACTGCCAAATCAATGCCACTATCACGAAACTTACTCTTAACAGATTCTTCTATATGTCCTCAAAAGGAGTTATATATCATCATCATTGGAGCATTATTAATAATATTATTAATATAATCAACGAACCTTTTCATCAAATCAGTATCCATCTATCCATTTTTTTGAAACCAAGCGATGATACCAGATGGAATTTGTTCATCGTGTGGTAATAGTTTTCCTTTAAAGATGCAAATCGGAGGAAATTTTGTTCCATCTGTATGTAGAAAATGTTTAATTATGATAATTAAAAAAAAATCTTCAAATTTTGCAGAAATAATAAAATGATTTCTACCTGTGGCACATGTCAAAACAACTGTGAATCGATTTTTTTCATTTCCAGTCCTGCGAATATAGACTGTCTTTTCACCTGTTTGGTCGATAGTAAAATTTCCTGCCATGTCAAATCAGACAGGAGTTTCGTCCATATTGAGAATGTTGGACAATTTAAACGATTTTTCAGTTCTAAGGCGGATAATAAATTGATGAAAGTTTTTTAGTAATTTATGTAGGAAGCTTTTGGAAAATTCTGGTATGATGCCGTCGAGACAGCTTATATCTCTTCATAAAAGCAAACATCCAACGAGATGACATTTTAAATGCTAAATTTCCATAAAGGTTTATCATCTCAGGCTCCTTTAAGATGTCTAGAATTTTGACTCGTGCGATTGCATAAGTAACGCCTAATTTCTGTTTCTTTTACTCTATAATCCATTTATACAGCTTTTTTTCAGCTTCGGGGTAAAATTCTTTTCGTCCAGCATCAATTCGCTTGACATTTTGATTTATCTCAGCCCATTTATTGCTTGCCTTAATCTAATAACCAACCATGCTACCATTAAGTCTAAAGTGTCTCGCAGCTTCATTTCTTCCATTTTCCTTGGCATAATTGATGACTTGCCTCTTTTGCTCAATAGAATATGAATTTCGACTTTGTATGACACATTTAAGAGCCTTTTTTCCCTTTTTATTTCTTGACTGCATGTGTGAATGAGGTATTTTAAAAACAACAAGAACGTGGCAAAAAAAAACACAACTTTTTTAAGAATTGTAAGTCACGTTACTTCATGTACATCACACTATTTGCGTTATGTTACATAAAAAAATCAGTGATTGTTATTATTAAATTCATCAAAATTTATTACTAAAATATTATTAAAATGAAATTTTTTAAAAAGTATCTGAAATTAAGCACCCCTATAACAAAAAAGGGGTGCTTAATTTCGGAATGGTACGGTATATATATATAAATATATAATAATAAAACATATAAAAATGCCCGGTCGAGAATGTAGCATAATTAACCGAAATAGGAAATTTTTTTTTGTAAAAGGAAAGGAAAAAATCAATAAAAGGAAAATATAAAAATAAAATCGGAATTATATTATAAAATTTTATTGTAACACAGACCCGCCTTTATGTTATATTGTTAATAATATTTGGTAGTAGGATAAATAAGGCCAACCAATAAAATCAAACTTCCGCGTCACAGCTCATATATATTTAAATCGAAAATTTGATGCAATTTATTTTAATCACGAAAATGGCTGACAGTTCAACACAAATCGTAAATGAACGAATCACCACTAATTCGCTTCCAGACTTGGAGAAATTATTACAACGATCTGTAAAACGAACAAGGGCAATGTTTCAACTCTGCTCTAGTACTCCTAATTTTCTTCTTGAGGATGACGAAAGGTTTTTAATGACTGGTGGAGGTTTTCATATATATATAGAGGTTATTCAGCTTTTAACCACTTTTATACAAAAATCTAACTTCTAACACTATTCACTTTTTGAATTTAGTCAACGGATCAAGTTACGGGTAAAACTTAACGACGAATACGGCGATGCCCAACAGTTACCGGCCTCTTTATTAGCACAACAAAGTAGAGGAAAGAAAAGACCTTTAGAAACAGACAGTTCCACTCCAGCTATCGATAGTACTTCAGAAACTATGCAATTGGATAATAATGATCATTTACCTCAAATCGCTGGAGGTCATGCGTTTCCTTCTGCACCAGGCTTGTTATTAACTTTAAATTGTATTTTATATAAATTGGTTTTTGTCAGGTAAACTCTAACATTAATCAAAAATTTATTTAGGGGTATCACTTTCTGAAGATAACGCGGTTGAAGGACAAGTTTCAACTAATACTATACAACAATTGGTTGATAATCTTCCACCTTCACGTGTTCAGTAAGTTGTGATTTAGTATGACTGTAAATTATAATCATATATTCATTAACTTCAATGTTATATAGACAAGAAGCTTCCAAGACTGCACATGGTGTCGTAGCTATCAGACAAAGGGCTGGTATCAATGCTACACCGTTTGCAACTTCAGGATCTTTGGTAAGACGTCAAACTCCAAGAGCACAGCGTCCGGATTGGCACGCTCCTTGGAAATTGATGAGAGTAATAAGTGGTCATTTAGGATGGGTTCGCTCGGTAGCTGTAGAACCGGGAAATAAATGGTTTGCGACGGGTGCTGGTGATAGAACTATCAAGGTAATAAAGATATATATTTTTGTACAGAACGAATTAAAAAATTTAAAACTTTTTATTTAAATGTTTTTAATTATTAGATTTGGGATCTTGCATCCGGCACGTTGAAACTTACCCTTACAGGTCACATTTCGACGGTTCGTGGTTTAGCTGTTTCGCCGCGACATCCATATTTATTTTCTTGTGGAGAAGATAAAATGGTTAAATGTTGGGATCTTGAACAAAATAAGGTTATACGACATTATCATGGTCATTTATCTGGTGTATATTCTTTGAGTTTACATCCTACGTTAGATATTTTGGCTACTGCAGGAAGAGATGCTACCGCAAGAGTGTGGGATATGCGTACAAAGCAATGTATTCATGTATTAAGTGGACATAATTCGACTGTAGCAGATGTAAAATGTCAAGAGGCAGATCCACAAATACTTACAGGATCGATGGATTCAACTATCAGACTTTGGGATTTGGCAGCAGGAAAAACTATTGCAACACTCACTCATCATAAGAAATCCGTTAGAGCCTTAGCTATACATCCGAAAGAATTTACTTTTGCAAGTGGTAGTGCCGACAATATTAAACAATGGAAATGTCCTGAGGGAACTTTTATGCAAAATTTTGAAGGACATCGTGCTATTATTAACGCTTTGGCTGTTAATGCCGATAATGTTTTATTCTCTGGTGGTAAGTAAAATTTTTTATTATAAAGAACCTTTTTTTTTTTTAATCATTTTTTTTTCTAAAAAAAAAAAAAAATTTATAAAGCTGATAATGGATCGATGGCATTTTGGGATTGGAAATCGGCATATAAATTCCAGTCTTTGGAAACAACGGTTCAGCCAGGGTCTTTGGATTCTGAAGCTGGTATATTCGCTAGTACTTTTGACCGGACCGGACTAAGATTGATTACATGTGAAGCTGATAAAACCATTAAAATTTGGAAAGAAGATTCTAGCGCGGTACGAATATTTCATTTTCTTTTATCAACAAATAGTTTTTAAAATTTGAGTACTTATTATTTATTTTATAATTATTGTTTGTTAGACCCCGGAAACTCATCCTATTGATTGGAAACCAACGTTGATTAGAACTAGATATTAATTAAAGTGATCACTGATTACGGTTATATTCTATTTAAAATCAATGTTATTTTATAGAGAAACGGAAAAATTATATAATAAAGACAAAAAAGGGTATCGATACATAATCCAATAACTTTATACTGTAGATATTCAGATAGTTTATTTTAAAAAAAAAAAAAAAAAAAAAAAAAAAAAGACAAAAAAAAAGGTATCTAAAACGAATAAATTTGAAAGGATATCATTAACTCAATTACCCGATGACAGTAGAAACATTTCCTTATTTAAAGATCTCCAAATCTCGGAAAATAATTAGTAGAGGAATTTATGAATTATTATTATTATTTTCTTCAGATGGTATTAAAACTTTACTTTGAAATACTTCCAAAAAATTTCGGATTTCATTCAACAAATCGTTAACGCCTCCAGTTTGTTCTTCATCCATAATATCATAAGGGTGCCACTCAGGGGCTTCACCAACATTTAAACTGCTGTTAAAAGCAAAAGCTTCTTCCCAAGATTTCTTATAAAACTGTTAACATTTAATAAGAATTAGAATATAAAACAATTTCATTACAAGAAAATAATTTACTTACAGAAACTCCAAAGGTAACACTTAATGGAGGTTCTTGATTCAAAGGAATTTCAACGCCTGGGAGATCATCCATATACTTTGATAATTCCCAAAATTCATACTTTGTAATTTCTATAATGTAATTTGTGCCCCACCAATATTTCCATCGTGTTTTTTCGCATATTGTAACCACATTTATTTCTTCGGTGTTTGAATAAACTAATCGATTTTGCGGGCTATATATATATATTATCATCATTATTATTTGAATTAATTAGCATTTTTAAAAGAAATTAGGTTACTAAAATAATTACAAAATTATATAGTTACTTAATTCGCAATTTATAAACAAAAGCTCCTTGGGCAGTAAACTTGTCATTAGAAAGGAATTTTGTCGTTTTGATATTTAGTTTCCAAGAATAGACGCTAATTATATTTGTTAAAAAAAAAAAAAAAAATTATTTCAAATAACGAAATTTATTATTATAATAACATTTAAACATTATATTAATACCAACGCATCTAAACATGACATGTTGATATCCAATATGTTTTTTTCATTCGTAGTAACGTTCCATGATCCGATTTGCCCATCATTCTTAAATTGGACCTCAAACGTACATGGCCAAGTTTCTTGATTGCGACCTTTTTGGATTTTATGAATTGTACAAATTTTAAATTCTCGAAATGGTGAACCATCCCATTGCTGATCGTACTCGGAAAGGATCTCGAATAAAGGGTCGATTTGTTTGTGTTCGGTGGCAATGCTGAAAAAATTTAGTTGTTAAAAGTTATGTAAAATAAATCACAACTTCATATTAAATATAATTACCATTTAGCAAATTTAGAACGTAAGCGAGAATCGCAAAGTATTTTCTTATGAAGTTTATCCATAGACCACAATGGTTCCCTGGGAAAATCTGTTAAACATACATAACCAAACCTGGATATGATACGTTATTCGGGAATAACTCAATGACAATCAATTCTAAGAAAAATTATATATGATACCTAACACGCATTTTAGTTATTTCGTCTAATAAATGGATGGTAATAAAGGCTTTATAAAGAGCAGACTTAATTGTTCTAACATTTGACTCACGGATACTAATATTTAATGAAATTAATATTCATTATATTTATGAAAATATGAAGCTTGTCAGTATTAAAGAACTCACCTTTGTAAAACATCGAAATTAGAATCTGGATATAATTCCTTTAAAGCTGAAATACTTTCCCTTTTGTAAACTGGTTCAATAAGTTTAATTACCACATCAAGATCGTATGGTAAATAGAGCCACGATGGTGGATTAGCTATTCGAACTTCACAAGGTTCATGTGGTGGTTCAACCAAATGGTATACCCAGCCATTATATATGGTCAAACCATCCTTAATAACGTGAGGAATTTTTCTAGACTAATAATTTAATATGAGGAATAAGCCAAATTTCTTTAATCCATACTTTGAGAACTAAGGGCCACCTCATACCACGACTACTTTAATATACAAGTTCTTGACTCGCATCGTTGCTTCCTCAACGGATTCATAAGTATCTCCAACGATTCTTATTAGCTAAGAAATTGAAATGATAAATATATTTTTAAATATTTGAAATATACGCGATAGATTCCATTGATACAAAACTTACGTTAGAGCTTGGTTCATACCACATATAGCATTTGGTATCAGCACGAATCGGATGCAAAATTTCTTCTTTTTCACCAATAATTCGCGCGATAGGAATATCGGATCTGGGAAGAACAAAGTGCCCATTGAAGAGTTTTTGCTCGGGTGGAAAGCCTCTGTAGTCACGTTCTTCACGTTCCCGAGCTGATCTACGATCGAACTTACGCTTTTGCTTATCGGTTAGAGCTTTTTCGGGTCTTACCCAACCTTTGACTATTCTTTTGTCACGCTCTTGTTGATCTTTCGCTAACTCGTTTTCAGCAAGGGCATACAATTGCTTGAGAGCTTGATCAAGATCTTTACGCGTTCCCCATATTTCGATTTTCTAGAATTGATCAAAATATGAATCAATTCAAAATTAAAAAAAAAAATTATTTTACGCGTCTTAAAGTAGAAATAAAATTACAGCGTCATCTTGATTATAAAGCATATGTGTATTAGTTGATTTTTCAATATGTTGCAAATTTTCTCCAATAATATCTACCGGACATAGATTTGAAGGAATCTTCAAAATTTTAAAATTAATATAACAATTTTAAAATAATTTGAAAATAAAACAAGGTGTTTAAAAATATTTTACCAGCCAAACCTCATCAGGCATAGAACGAAATTCTACTGAGCTCGCTGTTGTATTTTGAGGAGTCCCTTGTCTCCATGGAAGTGCTTCCTCTTCTTCGTAATTCACTGAACTATCAAATTCACGATAAGAGGCTGCCATAGTGAATAACAAAAAATTATTGAAGAATAAAGTTACATATCAATTTAAACTGTGATCGACAGGTATGGATGGGTAACCGGTTAATGAATTCGATCAAAAATTTATTTTAAGCGGAACTTTATTATATTATTATATTAATCGCGAGCAAACATAGTGAACTTATTTGCGATTTTATTGGTTGATTTTGTGATAAACATTTTTAAATATCACATAATTAATTGATCGTTATTAAAAAATTTTTTAAAATCAAAAATATCAAATAGAAAATACAAATAATAGTTTATGTTTAAAAGATCGTAATAAAATGATCAAAATATATTATAAATTTAGAAAATTTACTCGAAGTCAAAAGAGCTATAAAAAAAAAGAAAAGAAAGTGATTATTATATATTGTTAATAATAGTTATTTGATGATGAATAAATAGATAAAGAAAATAAAGAAGAGTAGAAAAATATTGGTAGACTTTAAAAATGCTTTAGAACTTGTAAGGGGGAGGGTTCACTAATTTTCCCCCCAAGTTTTGATTGGTCAGTGTTATAAAAGTTCTTATTGGTCAGTTTCATATCACGCGATAATAACACATGACATGTGATAATAGACATATTCGTCAAAATTTTCCGTACCTCACCCACCGTCAGTTTCTTTGACACAATACAGCTTTTTTTTTTTTCGCTAAACAATTTACAAACTTAACACTACAACTTATTTTAATACAAATCAAAAAGTTACAATTAAAAAATATGATTCATAATAAAATCGTTTAATTTATTTCATATATAAGCAAACTTAACAAAAAAATATAACATTCATATAGAAAAATTAAAAGCTAATTTGTTTTTTGAATTTCAAATTTGGTGGCGATATTTGAAAAATTTCTAACTTATCATCTTCGGCAACTTGTATCAGTGTTTCGGTCCTTGCTATTCTCATTCTTTCCACTTTGGTAGTTTGTAAAAGAGCTATCTGCAAATTGCTAATATCTTACGCGTTTTTATTCATCCATTCTGTAGTAATTGTGGCAAGATCTTCTTGCAATTTTACAATTTTTACATCTTTACTGTTGTCACTGGGTTCATTTTCGTTTATCTTAACGTCTAAGTTGAAAGGCTGCGGCAGCTGATTCTACACGTTGGAGTTTCTGACC